TGTCTCTTGAGAAATCAGAAAGTGTCATTTTATGCAGTTACTGAAGTCACAATGTTTTAAATTGATTGCCAGACAGCTGTTTTAAGCCAGCCTTCTGCAGTGAGTCAAATAATTTTCTGTCTCCACACAAAGCAGAAATCCTCATTTTATACATTTATTGTTGTTCCACTGTTTTTTTGTTGTGCAACAAGACCTGACAGCTATTGCAAGCTGTTTTTTCTTGTGTTTTAAAAGTGGTGCAGCAAATCAAAGTTTTATATACTGACATTGCCTTGGTGAGTTATTACCTGACTCTAATGGCAAATAGACCGCACAAGTAGCACAATGCAAGTGAATTTTCCCTAGAGCTTAGTGAATGAGGCGAAGCTCTGCTGATTTCCATCATCCAATCACAGTAAAGCAAAAATGCTGTTTTTTGTTTTTAATTTCTTTGGTATGCAATCGGGTATTCTTTGCAAAATGAATTTGCACCACATTCATTAAGCCTTGAGGAAGATTATCTTGCAAAATGAACAACCCATTTGTATTTAGTAAATCAACCTGTATACTACAAGCTGATTTTTCTGTGCTTCAAAAGTCTTGCAGGCAACTTTATATTTACGTTCTGTGCATGTCTGTTAACAGTAAAAAAAAATCAAATGAACTAGAAGGAAACCTGATGTTTGAGGCACCACATGTGTACTGAAAGCATTTTTTTTTTTTTAGAACAGTTACATTTTTTGTACATACAGTAAATACCTAAAAAAAAGCACTTGAGGGCTTATTTACACACTTAAAATGAACTAATTCATGCTAGAGCTTATAAATTTGAAACCCAAACTCCATAGACCAGTTTTTTTATCCCCCTAGTATGGTGGTGGTGTTTTTATATCTTCGTGCTGGTTCCACGGTGGATGGATGCAACTTAACATGTTTTGCGCCTTGTAGCAGATGCTGTTTTTAGAAGTAATATAGAGGTCTATCTATAATGATTAAAAACATATGTTATAGTATTCTATATTATAACAACATAATATTAATCTACATATATGCATCTGAAAATTGTTACTGCATACAATGATTGTTTATTCCCATGCCGTTTCACAGGTGCAGCCAATTAATCCCCTGAGAGGTGAATGCAGGGATAACTGGAGAAAAAGGGGGGGGGGGGGAAATGACTCCCCTTATATCATCCACAAAGGTGCAAATGTAATTCACCATCATTTTCCATATAATGGTTTATCCATATCCACCAAGTCAGCCCCAATTCATTCAAGACTGAAGATCACTGCCCCTGTGTTATTAATACCCTTACTTGATTCACTCTGGGTTGGGTTACTGGATAAATTGGGTTCAGATCTTTAAATTTCAGTGACTTAGGGGATTCCAAGAAAAGATGGCTAAAGAAAGGGATAGAATTGAGATACTATCATATTATTCGACCGCATACACTTCACTTCACTCCATCAAAATCATGATTTGACACTTTTATGATTTTACCTTTTTATCCCTTAATGCATAGCACATCAGTGATTCCCAAAACGTTAAATTAATTGTTTATAAAAGTAGTAAGGATCAGATACATTTCCATTATATCAAGTTCAATTGGTAAGCATTATCTATCAACACCTAGTTATTTATAGATCGGCATAAAAGACAAGAAGGGCAGGGGAAAAAAAACAACAAAAATACATTGTTCAATAGTATTTTATTGTTTGCAGGGCATATAAGGGGTTTATTTACTAAAGATGGACAGTGCAAAATCTGGTGCAACTCTGCATAGAAACCAACCAGCTTTCAGGTTTTATTGCCAAAGCCTAAATGAACAAGCTAATTGAGATTGTGGGACATTAATTTATATGAATGCATTTTATTTCTTACTGATTGCTTCATCATTATATATTTACTAAGACATTATGTACTTTGGTTATCAGTTACACCTTTGTTGGTTCATATACAGTATATTTAAAGAGGAAGCACAACATTTTTGTATTTATATCCATTCAAGTCTATCTCTATTATACTCCTAATAAAAAAGGTTTATAGCTCAGGTTTTCATTCAGTTCTAAAGCTGATGTTGCCTTTAAGTGGTGGATTGACTAGGCGTTTTTAGGCACGTTATAGAGGATGCCATTTTCTTTCCTGCAACCATGGGTTGCAACAGTGTTGATGGGGGAATCCCTTCCTTGGAGCTATTGTGTTCTTCCGGTGGGGAGCTATCCCTGAAGAGAGAACACAGTGATTATTGCTAGTGGCTATAGCTACTGGCAATAATCCCATGCTTGCAATTTGACATGCTAGTTGTACCTAAGTCAATTGAATGGATCTACTTGGGTAAAATCAGGCTGCCCATACATGGATTGAATCTCGACCTGTTCCCGCTTAACTGGCCAAGATTCAAACCATCTACAGTATGGCCAGATTTAGGCAGAATCATCTTATCAAAATCTTCACCCAAATATACATGTAGGGTCATAGTTATCTTTTAAGAAAACAAAACAATGAGGGTGAAGGAAGATAGCCATAGCCATAGACTAACTGGCTCTGCCTGGGAGCCAATTCCTGAAATTATCGGCAGATCTGGGACTTTGCAGAGATTCTTATGAGTTTTTGAAAGTGCATAAAATGTGGGCGCTATTTGAAATTTATATTCAAATATTCCATTGTATTTTTATCAACATAACATATCCCTAAAGGGGATATGTTTCTGTCTGTATTTTCAGTGCCCCCTTAAGCTGACTTGATATTAAATGAGACTTGCAAGGTCCTTAGCCCATAAGGGGCTGTTGCTACTGATCCACAAAGATTGACCGCTTTCAAGCAAAAGAACAGTCCAGGATGTGTTTCTGTAAACAGGAAATAAGCTGTCCATGTGCATTTATTCAGTCAAGTCAGGCATCCCATAATCCCTAATATCCTATCCAAGTTTTTTCCCTAATAAAATAACACAAATCAAGTTCATGGACTGATCACTGACTGTGAATGCAAGCGTGGAAAATGCATGTTGCCTGGCTGTGCATAGCTTAGGGGATCTAGAAACACAGCAGCCCTCTAGAGGGTAGCGCTACATTGTCAAAATATGGAATTCTATAACTTATGTTTGTAACTTTAACCCCTCTGGTGAAATTCCCGAGTGTAGCTCGGAGATAACTTTCAGTACCAGAAGCGGTAACCCCGAGCTACACTTGGGATTACACTGCAGCATTGTTCTGGGATCCCTGGAGCACTTACCTTGTCCTGCGGTCCTGCGATGTCCCCCCATGCAGTGTCCCCGGCCATGTTCTCCAGCCGATGCCGGCATCCGTCTTCCAGGTTCCATTCCCTGTGAGCGCCTGGACGTAAGGGGGACGGAACCGGTGGGTATTTCAAAAATGTAAAAATTTGACATTCACTCAATACACTAAAATCTGATAGTATTTCATGACTGTATCAAACCATTTCACATACATTTTGTCCCTAGTGCTTTGTCCTGTACCCTGCTTGCATTTTTACTGTTCTTTCTGCCTGGAAACTGAGAAACGTCCATGGCATCCAAAAAGCGTCCCTTTAGGTCAAAAGCGGTTTTAGACCAGCTAGAGAACAGCGATAGTAAATTAGAACCACTTGCAGAATTGAGTGATAATGATTTGTGGGAAAATTTGTCATCAGACACTGAAAATGATTTTGCGACTGAGCTCAGTGATGTGCGAATTTGGCGATCTGTTTCAAATTTCAGTGTTTTTGGTTTTATTACATTATTGAATTACATTTATTATTATTATATTATTTTTTATGATTATTTATTATATTATAATTTATGATTTTGTGTTTCAAATTTTATCATACCTGGGACGTTTACTAGACTCTTGTTCTGACAGATTTCATCGAGTTATTCCTAAGAATTACAGGCCTACAATAAAAAAAAACAACATATTTCCATTGAAAACAGAAATACTAACATAATCAGACCACTAGGGAGGTTAAGAAGCTAAAAACATTTTGCAGCCTTTCTCTGCATACTGCTTATAAGGCAACTAAATATTCAGTTTAAGTTAGCCAAATGGATTCCAGGAGAATCAAAACAAAAGGTTTTCAATGTCTAACAGCTTGGATAGAAAAATCTGTCGTCTGTCAGCAACTGCAGTGTCACCCAGTTCTCTGTGCGAAAGCTGTGGTCTCTGTAGGTCACACATGTCCCCTACTGATAAGTCCCTAGCTTACCACATTATCCATGTTAGTGGGACTTCAGTGTGTATTGAGCCTATCTACCTATCAATTGGACAGTTGCATGATTGAGGTGAAGGCCTTGCTGTCAGCTTTGGCGGATGTATTGAGCTAAGATATGTGGATGGGTCTAATTTTCAGATTTGGCTGATGTATTGGTGTTCCCTAATGTTCTCTAGCTCGGATAGCATGTCAGGGAACCACACTCATGCCAAGCATGATGTCACACATGAAACCTGCTAGGCTGTCATGGGGAAATGCAAAAGGGGAGATATGAGGTAACTGTACTCTCTCCTTTGTATTGAAAGTGCTGTACAAACTGTTGGAGCTGTATAAATCCTTATTAACCACTAGCCTACCGGGCACTTATACCCCCTTCCTTACCAGGACAATTTTCAGCTTTCAGCGCTGTCGCACTTTGAATGACAATTGCGCAGTCATGCAACATTGTACCCATAAGATATTTTTTATCATTTTTTCTCATAAATAGAGCTTTATTATGGTGGTATTTAATCACTGCTGGGTGTTTTACTTTTTGCGCTATAAACAAAAAAAGAGCAACAAATTTGAAAAAAAAAAAAGGTTTCTTTGTTTCTATTATAAAATTTTGCAAACAGGTAATTTTTCTCCTTCACTGATGTGCGTTGATGAGGCTGCACTGATAGGCAGCACTGCTTAGCACTGATAGGTAGCACTGATGGGCACTGATAGGCAGCACTGAAGGGCACTGATAGGCGGCACTAATGAGGTGGCACGGATAGGCGGCACTGATAGGTGGAACTGACAGGCGGCACTGATGATGGGTGCTGATTGTCATCACTGACTGGCGGCACTGACTGGCGGCACTGCTGGGCACTGACTGGCTGCACTGCTGGGCATTGACTGGCGCAACTGCTGGGCACTGAGTGGCAGCACTGCTGGGCTGCACTGATGAGCATTGGTGAGTGGCACTGATGGGCACAGGTGGGTGGCACTAATGGGCAGAGGTGGGTGGCACTGATGGGCACAGATGGGTGGCACTTATGGTCAGAGGTGGGTGACACAGCTGGGTGGCACTGATGGGCACAGGTGGGTGACACAGGTGGGTGGCACTGATGGGCAAGGGTGGGTGGCACTGCTGGGCACTGGTGGGTGGCACTGCTGGGCACAGGTGGGTGGAACTGGTGGGTGGCACTGCTTGGCACCGATCATCAGGGCACTGATCATCAGTGCCCTGATGATCGGTGCCGATCCCTGCTCTGACAACTGCCAGTTCTCTGCAGTGCTCTGCAGTACTTTCCCCACGTTCTGACAGCGTGAGGAAAGTGCAGCCGAGAATCGGCAATTGCATTTCCTTGTGATCAGCGTGTCATTGGACACGGCTGATCACGTGGTAAAAAGCAGCTGTGATTGGCCTTTTACCACATCACATGATCAGCTGTGTCCGTAGGACATAGCGATCACGGAGATCACCGGGTGCGTGCCCCGGGGGGGTGCGCAGGAGAGCGTGTTCTAGGAGGACATCACATGACCCCCTCCCAGAACTGGCCGGTCGCAGTGTAGCCGTCATTAGGCTATCTGCGGTCAGCAACTGGTAAATAATAATAATCATAATAATAATACTATTAATAATAATAATTAACAATAATAATATTGTAATAAGAGAAGCCTGGGTCCTCTCTAATTTGTTGAGGGGGGCTCCTTCACTCCTGTCTGTTCTGGCTGGTGGCAATGTGGCATCCATTTGGCAGGTGCATTGGGTAAGAACATGTAGAGTTAGGCTGTTTATTGGAGGATTACATTTTGTAACAACTGTCAGTGTTACTTTTTATTACAATACATTTATCCTCATGCATTATGCTCACTCAATTAAACAATTTTGATTTTCAAGCTTTGGATGAGCCTTCACAGACTTTGACAGCTTAATACCCAGTTAGGAATAACCTTTTGTGAATGGTGTTTGATAATCTACTCCTTGGTAAAAAAAAAAAAATTCTGATTGCTGTTTTCTATGTAATCAGTATTTGTAATTACCAGGGAATAATGAGACTTTATAATATATAGCTGTAAGATATATATGTTTAAGATATGAAGATTGTACTTTAAAGATCCTTATATCACCTGCTGCCCCCTTCTCCCATTTTTGTCGTGTTTGGATTAGTGCCTGACTGTCTGAGTATAAAAACAGAATTGTAAATGGGAATATTAATGTTATTTACATAAGTTATTAGAATGTTAATTTGTGCCTTGTATATATTGCTAATTTATGTTAAAGATATTTTTAGCTCCACTACAACCTTTTTTCCCAAAAGAAGAAAATTTAATATCTGGGTAATGCATTGACACTAATGTATAAAGAAAAAGAAGATTTCTCTGTTGCCCACTGAGGGAAAAAGCTTGATGACAAGAACCAACATCAGGTTATACTGCTGCCAGCAGGATACTTGGACCCTAAGAACATAGAAAACTGAAGGCAAGTCCCCTTGAAATTATAACCCCTTCCACCTCATACCTACTAAGTTTTGCTTAGTGTCCTTAGAAGAATGTATGCCTTTTTTTCTGCCAAATTTTTAGTTTCAATTAAAAGCCTTTTCTTCTATTGACAACTACTGGTAGAATCAGAATGGATATTGGAAATCCCGGGAAGTCTCTCAAGTTATCCAACAAGTGCAGTCGACAGCAGGGGCGGACTGGCAGCTCATGGGGCCCCCGGGCAATAGGGGATCAGGGGGCCCCTGTGTCATTGCCCAAACTCAAAAAAACCTATGAAAAAGGTACCAGGGGCATCTCATGGGGCCCCCTACTGACCCCGGGCCCTCGGACAGTGCCCGAGTTTCCAAATGGTCAGTCCGCCCCTGGTCGACAGCTAATACCTGTCTGTGTTCCAGTTAGCACAGGAATCTATTTTAGCTCTGGCCAGTGTGTGTCTGGGAATTTCTTGTGGCATTATTGGGGCCAGAGCTGCAGCCATGTTTCTGTACTTGTGTCTGAAGACTCATTGTTGTGAGTTCCTGGTAGATTTTATATGGTGTTGAGGTTGTTCCTCTGTTACTGAGGCTGTATGTGTGTTATTTGCTGCAGAAGCAGCTATAGCATATTGGTCATTTAGAGCAGGAATTAAAATTCTCCTTTTACTTCTGCACTTGTCTTATACAGTATTTTTGTGTAATTTGTAAGCTGACCACACTGAGGTCTCTTACTTTTTATTTTCTATGTTAGCATGCTTGACTCTATGAATGGAAAACCTATTTCTCATTCACTCTTAAAGCGGAGTTCCACCCAAAAGGGGAGGTTTCGCTTTAATGCTTTGTCCCCCGCTACCCAGTAAGGATTGGCACCTTTGGGGAGCGGGGGGGGGGTACCTGAATTTGACAGGTACCCGCTCCCACTTCCACTGCGATCACCTAGGCGATCGGAAGCGGAAGTTGTCCTTCCTCCCTCCCTCCCTGTAGTCTTCTGGGACACATGACAGGTCCCAGAATACTACGGGGCCATTCAGTGCTTCTCGCGCATGCACAGTGGGCACCTGGCTGTGAAGCTGCAAGCTGTCACAGCCAGGTGCCCACATTAAAGATGCCGGCGCCAGGGAGAGAAGAGATGGCTGGTGAAACCAGCAGTGGTGAAGACAGAGGGACAGGTAAGTGGCTATATTTTATAATATTTTACAAAAACTGTAGCTGCTGACTTTTATTTTTTTTTCAGCTGGAACTCCGCTTTAAGCTGTACAAAAGAGAGTAGTGAGCACCTACTGTATATTTTCTGATGCTCCCAGGTACTGTTTATGCACAAACCACCGATTTAAATCTTCCAGTAATGGCACTTGAATAAACATCTCGGGGAATAAGCACACTACAAAACTTTTTGCTGTGAGGCAATCCTTGCTTAATGTAGACTTTGAAATCTTTTGCTAGTCACTCCTAAGCACACAATCTAACTAGAGATGTGACCCTTCCAGCAGACTGCCAAAATTTAAATGAGATGGACTTGTGTCTTTTTTCAACCTGACTAACCATGCCATAGTGCCATGACTATAATGTCACTCAAATCATATTACTCAATAGTATGCCTTCTATTGAGTCAATCCTAAAGCTCTCCAATTAGTAGAGCTCATGCTCTTTTATGATTTGAGAACTTTGGCTCTGGCTCAGCAGGAGGTGTGTTCTATCTCTGCAAAGAGATGATTGCTTCCACACAATGAGCAAGGACCCCACTCTGTAGCATGCTGGCAGCACAGAGGGATCTCCATTCAAGGTGTGGCTACTTTTAAGGAAAGCAAACTTGAGGAAGTTGCACACCTATTGTTTTGATGCACTTGGAACGTATTTAGTTGATTCAAACTGAAAGTTGGATTGGGCTTTAATCTAGCCCATTAATCAGTTACCACAACACTGTCATATTCTTACAGGTTCCACCCCAAGATGGATTAAGCCTGAATAAAACTATAGGCAGAGTATAAGCTTCCTGCCCTTCCTTATCTTTTTGACTGATATTGCTAAGCATTGTAATAGACACAGATAAGCTACCACACTTGGATTGTCTGTACTGACATAGTCCTATCAGACATAAACGGCCAACAAGCGCATCCCCTCTTGGGAAGTAACAGACCAGTGCACAGCTTTGCTCAATTGCACTGCAACCCTGGCTTACCTAGGACATTAGGATAGTATTTGTCTGGTATTTGTGTCCAGTATTCAGTTGAAGGCTGTAGAGTAGTCAGCAGTAAATCATGATTGAAAAATAATGTTTTCAACATTCACATCTCTTGCTACATTGACAGTTGAGTAATTATCTCACAGTATAACACAAAAATAAAAGGTACTCAAGTTATATGATTAAGTATGGGTATTGTGCTGTCTTAATCCTTTCATCACTACTGAGTTTGGGACTTACACAGAGAATATATACAACCAGTTAAATTGGGCTTTTGACATTTATTTACTAATTGTTCTGAGTCAGTTACTTGGTGAGTAATGGAGGAAAGATTTCTTTGTTGATTAGGCAGTTTGGATTTTATTGTGTCTGCTTGGTAGTGTTTTGTTGATGTCAACTTCAGCATTAAATAGGGTGCCTTTGAAAGTGTTAAGTAATGTAAAATATTACTTTAGTTTTAATTACCGAGCCCCAACCTCTATTTTAAAATGCTGCAGTGATAATGTCTATTTAGTTTAGACCCCAAAACAATAGCTTAAGAACATTAATGGAAATATACATTTGGAACAACAGAACAGCTATTGAATGCAGAAGAGTAAAATGTAGAACTATATGATAAAATATATTATGAAAATAGCAACACTTAATTCAAATAAAACAAGTGAACTACCAAGCAACAGTCCACTACCTATAGGCTCTCTGCATTTTTACATAAACCTCTACAAGAATTTCCCAAGAAAGATTATGGTTAAATAACAGCCACAATGCCACCAATGGTCTAGGGTTGTGGGGAAGAGACCCTTGTCCTCATCAACTCTGACAAGGTAACTCTCCATGCTGAGGGCATATGGACTGGCCCTTTCCTGGCCACCCTGGCTGTATTCCAGATAAGGGCCTGATATAAATTTTGAGAAGGACCCCATGTTGTTTTTTTTTTGTTTTCTTGTTTGGGGTTCCGCTTCCCGACCACCCGCCTACAATTTACTGCAGATGGGCGGTAGCTGCAGGCAAAGTGACGTACCCATACATCACTTTTCTCTTCCTGGTTTAGAGCGCATATGCGTGCGCTCTAACATGGACGCCTGCTGTCATTTGTTGTAGGAGGTGTATGTCAGCAGGTCTCAGACAGTGATTTTGGCTGGGACTCTGCCGATTTCCTACAGCAAATGGAGATGCAGAGCTGTGCCTGTATTTGTAAATACAGGCACAGACTCTAGCTGGTTCTTCTTTCCCTGGAACCATTGAACATGACAGGCTTTATAACATTTGGCCCCTCATAAACCACCTCACTGAGAAATTTGCAAATGTGTATACACCCCAGCAAAACATCTGCGTTGATGAGTCCCTCATTCACTTTACTGGCCACCTTGCATTCAAACAGTACTTCCCCAGCAAGCGTGCCAGATATGGGATCAAATTGTATAAGCTCTGTGAGAGGGCCACAGGCTATACATACAAATGTAGGGTCTATGTGGGAAGAGACAGCAAACTAGAGCCCCCCCGAATGCCCAGACTACATAGGGAGCAGTGGCAAGATAGTTTGAGACCTGGTGTCATGTTTGTCCCGTAAGGGGTTCCACTTATATGTTGACAATTTGTATACAAGCATGCCAATATTTAGACATTTGTACAATTTTGGAATTGACTCATGTGGCACCTTGCGACCTAATCTCAGGGGCTTCCCACAGGCTGCATAAAAAA